AATAAATGGAATGTATTAATAAAAATGAAATATGAATATTATGATTTGAAGAAATACAATAGAACCAAATATGAAATGATAAATTGACACGAGTGAATAACAACATACAAAATAACAATGAAATAGAATAAAATCATTTATACAATTCAAATCAATAATAATTTGTTATTTCTATTTAATACAATGATATTTTTAAACTACTCTAATTAACAAATAATATAATATATAAAAACAATTAATTAAGTATTAGTAGAAATAGCTTCTATTTTTCCTGCTTCAAGGGAGACTAATCCTGTCTGTGAACGAAAATAAGCAAAGAAAAAATTCATCTAAATAATTTACAAAAAAGAAAAAAGATGCAAAAAAATTTGCATCCATAGATTTTTCCATTTATTATATTTTGCTCCTAAATAAAAATAAAAAGTATGATAATTACAGAATATGTAAATATTTATGTTTATATTTTATTATCATTTATATTCATTTTGTATGAAATATTAATGAAATAGATGATTTGATTATTCATATTTAATTATTTTTATTATTTATATTCTTTTATTTATATGTTATTTATCTATCGTATTTTTATATATTTATTTCTCTGTTTATATTATTTATATCATTGTATTCTTCTTATTATCTATATATTATTATATTCTTCTTATTTTATTATTTTTATGTTTATATTATTTAGATTTTCTTATTGTTATTCTTTTATATTTAAATGTATTTTATTATTTGAATATTCATCTTTTCATCTTTTATATTATTATCATTTATATCTATTTTCATTTTATATTTATTCTCTTTTGTTTTATATTAATATTAATTTTATCTTTTATCTTTTGATTTTATTATTATATCATTGATTATCATTTCTATATTTATTTATCATTTATTCTTATTATTCTTTTGTTTTATATTCTATATCATATATTCATATCATTTTCATTTATATTTTATCACTTATTATATGTTATAATAACATAACACATATGATTGAATATATAATAAACATCATGTTTAAATATACACATAAATAATAAACATAAAAAAGAATAAAATATTTTTCATCAACAAAATATTGTTAATCATTTTACATCATTAAATTAGACACTTTTATTTCATATTTGTATTTTTTACATTAAAATTACACTTTTTATTTCTTCATTCTTCTTTTATTACCTCTTTGTGATTTATTATTTTTATATTCTTTCTTCTTCTACTTTCTTTTTATTATTTTATATATTTATATTCTTTTTATATTATTTGGTTTTCGTTGTTTTTCTATTTTTGTTTCTTCTTTGCCAATCAGAGTTTAAATTTCCATCGTTAATAGCAGAATTTATTACAATGGGTAAACGACCAAAAATAATAAAAGAAATGGAAGAAGATATTAAAGATATTATTGAAAATTCATGGCAACAAGAACCAAGAGAAAGAATAAGCATAGAGAGAATTGTAAGAATGTTAGAAACGTTCAAAAACAATAATTCAAACTAGTCTAGTGTTTATTTTATTATTTCATTTCATAAATATTATTCAAAATATATAGAATGTATTAAAATAACACTGAGTATATCTGTTTTAAACTATTTGAATGTGATAATAACTTTGGTTTAGATAATTTTACAATAATTTGTATTTACTCTTATTCTTTTATTTTATCTTTTTCAATTTATTTTCCAATTTTTCTCTTCTTTTTAGTGTTTTATATTTCTTATGAATTATTTATATTATCTTTATTCTTTTGTATTAGAATTGAATGAATAATATAAAATATTTTGATTTGGTATGAATGGATTGTTTCTATTATTCAAGATGATGTTAATTTAAATTCTATTTCTTTATCTCTTGTTATCATTCTTTCTTGAATTTGTTATTTGATTGTTTCTATTTCATTTTTATTATTATTATTTTCAATATTTTATGATTCATGAATTGGTATTCTATGTATTATTTTTTTTTGTTCATTATTCTAACAATTCATGAACATTGTTAATTCAAATATTCTTGGATGGATTTTTTTTTATTTTTTATTATAATTATTTTCACCAGATAATATACTCTAATTTATTCAATACACTTCATTTTAAATATATGTTGTTTTGAATTATTTTTTTAATACTGGTATATTAATATTCTTATTCATTTTCTATTTCTATTTCTTATTCTTCTTTATTATATGTTTAAATAATTTAGTCATTATTATTAAATATTCATTATTATTTGTCAAACAACATATAATCTCATTTTATTTGGTATTATTATATGCATCTAATTAGTTATAATTGAATGTCAAATAAATTTAGTTTCCAATACTGAAATAATAATTAACCAACAATGATGATGTTATAACTAATGAAATTAACTCGTTATTATCATAAAACTGTGTCACTTAATTACCATTGCACCGTAATAAGAATTTGATACAGTGTCAATTGAAATCATCAAAAAAATTATTTTATTAAAAGAAAAACAAAATTAATTATTGAAAAACATACAATCAAAAAAGATATTTATTTTCAGATAATTCATATTTTTATTATATTTTGAAAATACAACTAATAAATAATAAATAAAAAAGAACTAAAATATAATGAAATAATCAAAAATAATAAAGAAAGAATGAAATTATGATATAATGAAATAATGATTGTCTCGAAGTATTTTGAAGATATTAATGATTTTATTAATTTAGAAATTGGAATTAAAAGATTTAGAGGAAATATGGAACGATTTCATTTTAATCCAATTCCATTAAATCAATATTCAAGAAAATTGTTTCCTAATATTGAAACATTTCATATTTATAATAAAGAAGATGAAGTGTTTAAAGATGGAAGAATAATTAAATATGTAATATGGTATAAAGTAGAATATTCAAAATATTTAGAAGAGAAAGAAGAAGGAAATATTTGTAAAAATATCGAATATACAAAAGAAGATATAAAGAAATATGGAAATACAATACCAATAGAAGTTAATTCACTTGGAGAATATTGTTTTTATGGATTAAAATCCATCAATATTCCATCAACAATTAGTAAAATAGGAAATAACAATTTTAGTAATAAATTATTAACATCAATCACAGTTGATAACTTGAAATTTATAAGTAAAGAAAGAATATTTATGAATGAACCAGCATTATTAAGTATTCAAACTCCACGTGATATACAACAAATAAACAAGAAAAAAGTAATACGAAGAAATATTAATGAATTTATAATACCAACAACAATCACTAAATTAACAGATGAGTGTTTCAAAGAATGTTACTCATTAACATCAATGAATATACCAATAACAATTAGTAAAATAGGAAGTTATTGTTTTAGTTATTGTTCATCATTAAAATCAATCAATATTCCACTATCAGTTAATGTAATAGAAAATTATTGTTTTGATGGATGTTTATCATTAACATCAGTTACTATACCATCATCAATACATTCATTAGGAGACAATTGTTTTAGAGGATGTTCAACATTAAAGTCAATTAATATTCCAAAGACAGTTAGTAAACTAGGAAATGGGTGTTTTGAGAGATGTACGTCATTAAGTTTAATTAATATACCAAGAGGAATAAAAGAAATAGGAGGTGGATGTTTTTATGAATGTTTGTCATTAACCAGTATGAATATACCGACAACAATTAGTAAAATAGGAGGGACATGTTTTAACGGATGTAAATTATTGAAGAACATCAATATAAAAAATATTCAATTTATTAGTGGAAATAGAATATTTTTAAATGAACCAATTTTATTGAGCATTAGAACACCAGAAAATATAAAAGAGATTAACAGAAATGAAATTAAACAAAGAGATATTAATGAATTTATAATACCAACAACAATCACTAAATTAACAGATGAATGTTTTAGTGGATGTACTTCATTACGCTCATTTAACATTCCTACAACAGTAAATGAATTGGGAAGTTATTGTTTTTGTGGATGTTCATCATTAAAATCAATTATTATTCCATCAACAGTTAGTATAATAGGAGATGAATGTTTTAAAGGATGTTCATCATTAACATCAGTTACTAAAACACTAAAAGAATCGAATGAAGAAAATACAAAATGTGTTTTAGTGTAACAGATAATTGAATCAACTACCATTTTTATATTTCAATATATTCTTCTTTTAACTCTTCTATTTTATTATGAATGTTGATTATTTATTCATGTTTAATTATTACCAGTTTGAATTTAATACCTCTCTTATTTCTATAAAGTAAATTTCATTTAAGAAAGTTATTCTACGAGTTGAATTTATTATAGTAATGATTGAATTGTTTAGTTTCTCATTAAGTAATGTTATTAAATGAACAATGTAATTGATGTTATTATTATTTGTTGTTTCATATAATAATTTTAACATCAAGAAACTATTAAATGATTTGAGTTGAACATTACCACAAAGTACATTCTTCATTATTTATTTAAAATTCTCTTGAATAAAACTAGTAATTTAATACACATTCA